GAGATGGACCACAGTTACAAAGGTCAAGCTGTGGATGTGGGAATGGTGCAGTGTGGTGATGGACCACAGTTACAAAGGTCAAGCTGTGGATGTGGAAATGGTGCAGTATGGAGATGGACCACAGTTACAAAGGTCAAGCTGTGGCTCCTAGCAGGAACTTGTGCTGCACTGTGGCTTTCCCTCTGTTCTCTTCTTGGCCTGCTGCTTCTTAGACACACTTCCCTCCTGAGCCCTCTGCCTTCACTTCAGCAGGTTCTCTACAGTCTGTCTTCTGTGCAGGTCCATAATGTCTTGTGTACATTGAGCTATAGGAGACTGATTAGAAAGCATTTTCCAGGTCAGGCAGGAGTCATCATTTAAACAGGAAAGGGAGGAAGGATTGCAGGTTGGTTGGACAACTTGGGAAGGGCAAGGCTAATGCATATGGATAAACAATCGAACTCACGACTTTAGATACAAAGATGTCAAACAACTGGATCCCCTGTCTGTGCGTCTGGTCCTTGCCTCTGCTCAGGTGAACTGAAGTTAGTAGTTAGCTCACAGCTGTCAGGAAAATCATGTTTTACATTCAAGTACACAATATTAGCTTAAATTTCATGACAACAGTCAAAGGTCTTCTCCTGTTCTTCCAGAATCTTTAAATTCACTGCATTAACAATAGCTTTGCCCGCTTCTGACATAGGCTGAATGCAGTTAAAATGCAGTTGTCAGCAAAAACAACCCCCTCTTGAATGTACACACAGGTGCCTGATGGATGCGTCTGGGGAGGAATACCCCTGATCGTAAATCTGCAGGTGAAGAGAAAAGAAAAAAAAAAATGACATGTAGCATCTTTGTGTTAGAAATCAATCCTGACTCAAAGCTTGAAATCAGCAGTAAGGTGAAGGAAACATCAGCAAATGTCTGAAGGGGCAAATAGCAAACCCCCTTGGGACTTTCATGGATTCCCCCCCTCTTCATTCTGACAAGAAGAGGACATATGTGGAATGTGACAGGGACTTCAAATCAGGTCCAGCCAGGGACAGAACACTCACAATGGGCACCCAGAGGAGTAATGGACTTACAAGTGAGGACGCAAAGGAGAACCATTCTCCCACAACCATGGGTCATTTTGTTTCTTCCGACGCAGTCCCATCCAGAATGGGGAGGTGGAATGGGAAGTGGTTTGTGAGATGAAGTTCTGTGGAAAGACACCACTCTGACTTTAGATTCATCAAACTAAATATCAAAATGATCTTCAACATCCCTTGGTGATTTAATGACAATTTACAGAAGCCTACTGAGATACAGACACACCCTGTATGCCCAAGGCCAAGCATACAAACAGACTGAAAAACAGCTGTTTCTCCTCTCAGACAAGTGTTCCTCCCTGTGGTGATTTGAATGAAAATGACCCCCATAGAGAGTGGAGGGAGGTGTGGCTTTGTTGGAGTAGGTGTGGCTCTGTTGGAAGTAGTGTGTCACAGGGGTTGGATGGGCTTTGAGGTTTCAGAAACTCAAGTATCACTCTCTTTCTGCTGCCGGTGGATCCATATGTAGAACTCTCAGGTCCTCTCCAGCATCATAGATGCCTATGTACCACCACGCTTCCTGCATGCTGATAGTGAACTAACCCTCTGAAATGTAAGCCAGCGCAAATTAAATACTTGTCTTTATAAGAGGTGCCATGGTCATGACATCTATTAACAGCAATAAAACTCTAAGACACTCCTCCAGAGACCTAAGCCTGGTTCATTTTTTTTTTTTTTTTACTAACCCATAATCTATTCCATCATCACCCCAAATGACTCACCAGATCATCTATGCTATTAATTTGTAGCAACTGAGCATCCAAAGACAGGCAGATTTCTTGGCTCTTTGCCCAATAAGACTGCTCAGAAGAGAACAGATAACAGTTTTCTTTATGCCATAACCAGTCTTGTGGACACGGACCTAGGAAGTGTTAATAGAACAGATGAGTTCTGAGTAAAAGCATTTCTTCAGTTCTTCCTTAGAATGATACTCAGAATCTGCAAATAGAATGACCAGAGTCTTTATTTCCTTTTTAATACATCATTATCATTTTTTGCATTTTATTTTTATTTTCTGTGTGTGGGTATTTTGCTTGCTGGTGTATATGTGCACCAGATGCATGTGATGCTCTCAGAGGCCAGAAGAGGGCATCAGATCCACTGGAACTGGGGTTGCAAACAGTGATGAGCTGCTATGTGGGTGCAGAGAACCCAACCTAGGTCCCCTGGAAGAGGAGCCAATGCTCTTAACCACTGAGCCATCTTCCTAACCCTTATTTCCCTTTATACACTTTTTTCTTTTGTTAAAAATATATTCTTTCTTACAATATATTTTGATTATGGTTTCCCCTCCTCTAACTTCTCCCAGTTCTTCTCCCTGTCTTTTATGTTTATAAAGGAAGAAGAGAGTGTTTTTAAAAGAAGAAGGGCTAAAGCATTCTAATTTTAGTAAACTGAGTTGACTTTCCACTTAGCATTTCATTTCCCTTCTTAGGAGACATAAGTTGGTATGCAAGTTTAGAATTTGAATTTTAAAAGTTTTGTTTGAAATTACAAAAATGAGAGTTAAAGAAATGGATGTGTATTGGCTGTTCTGTTATTACAAAGCTAGACATGCATTTAAAAAACTTCATTTCTCTGAATAACAGAGTTAGTTGTGGCTACTCTCCCTCCTTCTTTTATCCCTGTGTTGTCCAGTACAGTTGCCAATGTGGTTTCTGAAATGAGGTGAGTTTGCAGTCACCCATGTTTGCACTTAAAGCATACATGTGATTTTTAGTGCTTCATCAGAATCATGCAGCCTAGCCCATTGAGAACCTTATAGGTTCATGTCAAATTAATATTTCAGAGGTTTTAGTTAAGTAAAGTATGTTACTACAATTAATTCCATCTGCTTCTTTTTCTTTCTTTAAACATGTTCATGGTGGAAAATTACTCTTGTATAGTAGCTCACATTCTTTTGGACAAGTTTGATTTAGGTAGAATGTTTCATTGATATAAAATGAGTATTCCCAGTTTCAGTGAGATTTCAGTAAATAAGATGTTCTCAGCAACAAATTTGCTGGGGCATCCAGAAAATTCCCCTCTGGGAGAAGGAAATAGGCAAAGGTATCAATATCTACATGTTGACAACTCCCAGATCGCCAGCATGGTCACCAAGTGCATAGTGATGGTGACACACAAGGAACTGCCTTTTGCTCTAATGTGTGGCCAACATGGGGGAAAAGTCATTAAGAAGAGTTAGATCATAATTTCAATTTTCACTGTGGCACAAACCCACCTGATAATTTTATACAAGCAAGCTTTACCAGAAAGGCAAATGTAGACCTGGTATAGTGGTTCCTGTCTGCAACCCCAGCACAAAGGAGACTAAGGCAAGAGGAATTCCTTGAGTTCAAGGCCAATTTTGTCTCAATAATGAGTCCCAGGCCAACCTGGGCTACAGAGTGAGAAGCTATCTAAAACAAAAGAAACAACATAGGACTATAGAACAACAAATATATATACATAGAGGATAGAGTGTGGTGGTATTGTGTTCCCCAAAATATTGTGTACCCTAATAAACTTATCTGGGGTCAGAGAACAGAACAGCCACTAGATATAGAGGCCAGAAAATGGTGGTGCACACGCCTTTAATCCTATCACTTGGGAGGCAGAGATTCATCCGGATCTCTGTGAGTTCAAGGCCACACTAGATATATAGCCAGGCATGGTGACTCGCGCCTTTAATCCCAAGAAGTGAGACTTTAATCCCAGGAAGTGAGGGCAGAAAGGTATGTAAGGCATGAAAACCAGGAACTAGGCTGGTTAATCTTTTAGACTTTTGAGCAGCAGTTCAGCTGAGATCCATTTGGATGAGGACATAGAGGCTTCCAGTCTAAGGAAACAGAATCAGCTGAGGAATTGGCAAGGTGAGGTAGCTGTGGCTTGTTCTGCTTCTCTGATCTTCCAGCTTTAACCCCAATACCTGGCTCCAGTTTGTTTTTATTAATAAGACCCTTTAAGATGCTACATCAGAGTAGGAAGTTTCCAGAAAAATGAAAGCAGAAAGTAAAGTAGAAAGGGCATGCATAAGTTTAAAACAGAGTGTACAACTTCCTTCATAATTTGTCTATCCCCATCACAGTATATAAATATAAACAAATCAGGTTGTTGTGGAATAGAGAAATGGTCTAGACAGCTTGTCTCTATTATAACAAAGTGAGAAAGACATGTCTCTCTATGTGATATTAAAATCAACTACATTTCTTTGTATGTGTGTGTGATATGTGTGTAATATCATATAGCATATAGTATCTACTATTACATACAAAGTTTAATGAACACAGATATTATTTACCAAGTGTACAAACTGCCGGAAGTACTTTGAATATGTGAACTCATTTAATCCTTGTTCAACTCAGAGTTTGATTCACTAATGTCTTCATTTGACAGATCAAGAAATCATGAATTTGAACCTCATGCTCACTGTGTGTTTAATACCTGTGTTGGTGTACCTCGATAAGCCTTGGTTGTCAATTTGTCTGCATCTGGAAGGAACTAAAAGCCAAGCAGCTGGGGATTCCTGTGAGGGATTTTCTGAATCAGATTGTCTGAAGCGGGACTTCCCCTAAACATGGGTGAGTCCTTCCTATGGCAACACAGAGATAGGAGGAAGAAGGAAATTTTGCCCTGTGCCTGTGTGCATTCACTCTGCAGGCAACTTCATTGATCACAGGGCTACATTCATTCCTTGGTATTATAACCAGCTTCTTCTAGCTTCAAAAATAGACTGAAGATCAGCAGCTCTTCATAGATACTCCAGGACTTCAGTGCCAAACAGCGAAGTCTTAGACATCCAGCCTCACAGACTAAACAGCTGCTAAATTTTCCACCCATCCAGTGAGAGATAACCATTGTTCCATTCCCCAGATACATTATGCAAACAAATCTAATAAATCCCTTTTTAATACATACTCACCCTGTTGGCTCTGTTGCTCTTGAGAACCTAATACAGGCACAGTAGCACATGCCCGCTCAAACTCCCCTGAGGATGAACTAATTGAGGAAGTATTCTGCTGTGGGCTCAGGGTTTGGGGGCCTACATGGAACTTGCCATTTATATAAATCTATTTGCATAGCTAAAGACGAATAACAAGCACCAATTCTGATGCTAAATGCAAAGATCTATCTTTTTGAAGACCCTGAATCTCCTTAGCTTCCAAGGAAATCATCCTACTGATCTGCTGAGGACCACAGAACTGTAGTAAGACAGAAAGAATCTGCCTCAAATTTGGAAAAAAAAACCCTAGTATAAATTTTCCCACTTGGGATTTCAGTATTACGATATTTTCGTGAGGCTCTCCCTAGGGCAACATGAGTAAAGCAGACATTCACCTGAGATCTCTACTACTTGGCCATATCTAACACTTCAAGGAATGGAACAAAGGACCTAATTATATATGCCAGAAAAGGACAAGTGAATTCTGTGTCTGATCCATTGTTCACGTCTGGCATCTCTAAGAGCAAGTTCTTCATGGTCCTAACACAGATCGAATTCCACACAATTTACAGCTAATAAATGCAAAAATGCTTTACTGCTGTGTCTGTGAAATAAACCATTGGCTGGAATTTTAGCTGTTTACATCTGTAAACACTCCCATTCTTGATAATTAAGCCTCCGTCCCTTAAACCTGGTTTGAAGTGTTGCATCCCTTACTTTATTGAAAGGTCCTTCCCTAGAAAGATTAAATACATATTTGACAGTAGTCAAAGGTCAGTTTGTCTAAAAAATTCTGATTATTTTTGCAAAGCTAAATTACCCCTTTTATACTGAAATAATTTATTTGTTTGTTTGTTTGATCTCTCATGTAGCTCTGGCTGGAACTTGTTGTATAGACAAGTTTGGTCTTGAACTCAGAGATCTCCTTGCCTCTGTCTCCCCAGTGTTAGGACTAAAGGCATGCCCCACCATGTTGGGCCTGAAAAGACTTATAAACTGCGTAACTAAAAGAATTAAAAGCTGAGTAACTTTACATCAAACCACTCATTAACATTGTTGTTGATCTCTATCCTGCTCTCAATAATTTTGTCTATACAATGAAGGGATGACTATCTATATATTA